GAGAGAGAGAGAGAGAGAGAGAGAGAGAGAGAGAGAATGAGAATGGCAGGGAAGGTTGCATTGAGTACTTAGCACTGTCAAACCCTGGGCGGCCCGGCAGGAGGAAACTGTGGGTCTCCTCCAAGTGGGAGTAGCCATCCTTCTGAAAGATTCCCCAAAGGTGGAGGGTGTTGTCGTCTAGCAAGGTGAGGAGTTGGCCCTAGGGAGATAGAAGGGAGAGCTTTCAGGGGCTTGCTGAACAAAAATCTTAGTTGGGGGAAAAGGGGTTTACCTGCAGGAAGCCACAGCTAAGGGATGGACATTCCCGCCACTGAGCCCATCTGTCTCCAAGAAAAGGGTTCCATGGGAATAGCCAGGAAGAGCAAAGGAGAAAGAGAGGTGGGAAATAAGGCTTACCTGGCCAGGCAAAAAGTGCATCTGTGTGACTGTAGCCGTCTCCTTATGTAAACCCGTGAATTCCACGCCAGGGGCCCCATATCTTCAGAGGGCAGGGTCAAGGACAAAATAACAGCAGGCAAGGAAGGAGACCTTGGTACAACTCTATCTATACTTCTTTACCCCCCTCAATGCTAACTTTACACTTGTTTTTTTTACCGAGTACTAAGCAGTGGAATGTCTACAGTGCTGAGCATTTTGGGGGATATCTATGGAAACCCATTTTACAAATAGGAAAAACCAGAGAAAAGGAAAGCAATCTATCTCCTTTCTCGGGCCCCAAGTCAGTGTCCCTTCTTTCCACATTTGCAACCACAAAGAGCCAAATGTTTCCCAGGTTTAGGGACACCTTCCATCTACAGGAATACTTCTCAGGGCTCAAGGCCCAACTGGTGTTACCTCCAGGAACAAAAAGTCTTCCCCAACTAATCTGGCCCATATCTACCTCTCCTTCTTATAATTTAACCTGTACGTGTCATTATTCCTCACACAGGTGACCTCACATTTTACCCTTTTGTCTTCTCTCATTTTATGCTAGTCTCGTCGTCCCCCCCCCCCGACAAAACCAGTTGTCCAGGGGGGGCAGGGACCACATTTTCTTCTTCATTATCTGCACCCTGCCCTCCTGGCACTTGACAAAGGACTGGAAACTGAGAAGGTGCACAGAACAGACACCCCGACTTGACTCCCTGACAGTCAGTAGCTAGGGAATGGGACGCATTTGGGGGTTAGATTTGTAAGATCTAAATTTGGGTCTACTTTTCCTTCTCCAAAGGACTGCCCATCACACTCCAATGGAGGTTTCAGGAGAAGGGATGATAAGGATTATTATGCCAAATTTGATAGTACTTGGCTCTCCTTGGGAATGTACAAAGGTTGGGAAAGAAGTCAGAATCCTGGGCTCTCTCTCAACTGCTGGCCCACGGTTATGCCACTGCCTAGTGGCAGACAGAGGACTAGAGCCTTTGTCTCTCAATTCCCCCATCCACTTCTGTCTCTATCATACCAGAGTCTAGGAATCACTTCAGTCCTGCACCCCAGCTCCCCATCCCCCACCTTTTCTGGAGCAAGAAAATCCTTGCACTGAGAGCCCTGAGTACCCTGTCTGGCGTCAGTTCTGTGCTGTGCCCTGTTCCCATTTCTTATACCCATAGCAAAGAATGCAGAGCTCAGAGAGGGAAATTTCCATCAACTGCAAAATGATTATTCTTTAATCAGCTCTACTTCTGACTAGAAATGAGGATCAGGGGAAGAAACTGGTTAGCATTAGTAGGAGCCAGCAGGCTCTTGTGCTGTGTGCGTATGTGTTTCAAAGAGGGAATGGGGACTGGGGAATTGGAACATGACAGAAATCTGTAAAGTCAGAGCCAACACAGGGCACCTAGGCTGGCTTGAAGCCCTGAAGAGACAGCAACTCAGATCAGCTCAGACTTGGCCTTCATTCCTATAACTCAGCTCCCCAAACACTATGTATCTTTCAGGGCCTACCTACTCTTCCATTAAGATTTCCTAGGTG